AACAGTATTCATGAGAAACATTTTCTCATTTATTCCATGATCAGTCTTGCCCCTTGTTTTGAATGGGTCTTTCATCACCTGCCACTTAATTCTCCCTGATGTGTTTATATGTCACGTGTACCTACCAGTATTTGTATTGCTAAAGTGGACGCTATGTATTCTTTTAGACTCACAGATAGACTTTTCAGTCTCTTTGTCATCCTGCCATACTGCTGGACTCAATTCCAGTCTGAGTTTCATGGAATCTTCCAGGAATTTTAGGATTTGGGAGCAAGTCTTAGGCAAGTCTTGTGGGCAGCATGGCTGTTGATTCCCCAGATCCATCCGATTTCCATCCAAAAAACTGAAATATTCCTTAGGTAACATGTTTATATTTCTCTACTAGCTCTAATCACAGCTTTTCTTTCTCTAGTTTTCTGTAGTTTCCTGTCCAACGTACCAAAAAATAATTTTAGTCACACTGCATCTTCCATCAGAAAAAATGTTCCAGTGCCTTTCTAGTAGAGCTTTCAAAACAGAAAATACTGTTTTGGTTCATCCTATTGATTGTTTTTCTCCCTAAAGTGTTGATTTTTTTGAATAGCTGGAGAAGATATGAATTTATTATCTTCAGGAATAACTTTTAAGTGACATTTAAGCTATTAATAATTTAATGTGCTGTCTTTGAGCTTATATTTTTGTTACCAAGGTATGTTTGTCACAGTTTTGACTCTGTAACCTCTTGTCTTTGGGAGATGCTAAGGCCTGAATTCATGACACCAGTCATGCAGACTGAAGTAACGCATCTGAGCACGTTCATTTGTTTATCCAGACAGTCTTTTGAAGGATGTCTCAGGACTGTCCTCAAAGTCACTTCACTGCTCACAGGGACAGCAAATATGAGCTCAGAGGATATGTGGCCCCACAAGCCTGAACACGGTAGCAGTACAATGTGTGCAGTTTGGAAGTACGTTAGTATGGGGCAAATGTGACCACACAGGCTATTTGCAGGTAGTATGCAATATGGTTTTGAGACCCAGAGGTGGCTGGGCTATGGGTGCATCTTTGGGCATGTAGAGGTTCCAGCTGTTTCTAAGACCTCACTTCTAAGAGCTATGCAAACAAAGTTGATTTTAATACTGATTTCAGCTTGGGGGATGCTATTAGATGCAGACTTAGCCCATCACACAGCACCCAAAGAATAGAGAATGCTATAGGCCTTAAGAAACACTTTCTTTTTCACATTTGTTAAAGATGATAAAGGTCAGTCATGGTCATTTTTATTACTTTTACTAGGATAACAATTCTGACAACAGTAAGAATACTGGCACTGCATTTCATTGGGAAGTGGGACCACCTAACTCCAAGGTACTCCGAGATACCATGCAGCTGTTTTGCTGATATTGTACATATGGTGAGAGTATCTGCAGGCCTCAGCTGAGTATGGTAATGCTCCATCAAGCTTATTATTTTTTTGTCAAGTGCATTAGTTACTTCGTGGCTTGGGATTCTTTTTATATAGAATTCACATGATTCATGGGTTACATGCTTTTCTGATGAAGTGCAATATGTCTATAGAGGCGATTGTGACCGCCTCCAAGCCTATGACTTAATCTACATAAAAGCACAATGATCGGCATTTGGAAGAAATTCTTACGTGCTGTTTGTGTACGATGGCCAACTGTCTGATAAATCCCAGTGCAGAAGTCTGTTATGTTTGAGAAGAGCAAGACAACCTTCTGCTACCTGTTTTTCCAGCAGCTGTAGGTTGCTTATTCTGCCTCTTTATTTTCTCACCAGATGCTCAATGCTTTTAGAGGAGCTTTGAATCTGCATTTGGGAGCTTTTGATTTCTATACCCAGCACTGTTGATGCTTCTGGATCCACCCCATATCTTTCAGTGCTTCAATTATGGGGATTCCCAATTACAGCTTGTATTTTAGGAAATGCTTCTCTGTTAGCCAGTATTGAAAAGCCTTTTAAAATTGCTGAAATTCTGAGACAATCTGTCTTGTAATATCGCGTGGCATCTCCTATTTGAGGATTATCCCATTTATATTCATGACCCCCCATGTATATGGATTCCAAGATGTATAAGTTGTATAAGTAGCAAAAGTGCCCAACCGGTAATTTCTAAAGATATTTCTTTTGTCTGCAAAATATATCTTCATAAGTCTTCATAAACATCTTCAAAAAAGTACCAACACGTCATCCATTTTGAGCACATACAGGCACCTTTGGCTCTATGTTCTGAATCAGAGTATGTGCATGACTGTCTTAAATTTTTTGATCATTTCACTCACAAATTGGCCTCAATTTGTACGATTTTTGAGCATATGATTTTGAGTATATGATTTTTGAGCAATAAAGAACAAACATTTCATAACCCTGTGTCTTGTGAGTGTAATTCTGGGAGCATGTATCTTAATTTAAAAGCTTATAAAATCATGAAAAAGGCATTATCTAATATTAGGAATGGCTGGTTTACTTTGATGTTATTCATATTGCCTGCATTATAAAAAGTGACTCTCAAGAGGCTTAACACAGTTTACATTCCAACATTAATTCTGGAGATATCTGAGAAGACATCTAGATGAAATTAGCAAAAGATGTCTTCTGCAGCTCTAGGGTATGCTTTTTCTTTTCCCCCTCAGGATACCCAGCACACTGCACTGCACATGTTCACTGGAGCAGCAGCCTGAAAAAAATTAAATAAATACAACCTTCTTGAATGAATGGTATCTCCTGCAACTAAAGGTTAAGATGTCATTCAATGATTTATCCTTCCTAATGGATTTGTTGGATTCTTCTGACAGGGACATAATTTACTAGCTTTCAAACATCAAAGGTTGTGTTCTCAAAATGGTGTTTGGGGATTTATGATATTGAAGTAGGTGAATTACATGTCAAATTATCAACCATTCCGCTGGACATTTCGTCAGTGTTGCTGGTATCTAGGCATTTGGCAAAATGAGGCTTCAGAACACAGTCTTTCGATAGCATTGTTTTATTTCAAAGCTGCTGTTAATCAAATGTTTCTGGAGAAAATCTGTAATACAGACTGTTAATTACATTGACTGCTGTGCTGTGGCCTGCCAGATGTCAGGGGTGTCCGTTGCAGCTGTCACCCTTTCTGTAAAACATTGTTAAAGTATTGCTTTCTTGATTGAAATTGTTTCATCTGGTAATCCAACTAGGTGCTGCAATATGGAGACAGGCGATACTCCCTCAGTAAATGAGGTCAAAGGGAGAAGAAAAAAAGAAAATACTGCATTAGTATAAACATAGATTGAGACTTTGTAAATGAAGTGTACATATATCTGCAAGTGTGAGTGCTACCCGCAGCATGTGTATGCGTGCAAGAGAGTTAATATCCTTCTTTTGATTTTGCAGCTTTCAGTAATGACATACTGCTTCTGTATGGGTAAGACCGATGTGAGGACTGCCTAGATTGGGAATGTCTGTCATTATTTCAATGGTGCTTTTAAGTGCACTGCATTGTACTCACTCATAGAACTAAGAAAATTTCTTGGCACATGCACTTTGTGTCAGAGTATAATCCTATCTGGAAACATTTTATTTAAGATTTCTTTCCAATAGTTCCTGTCTTCTTGATTTGGGAGTTCTTGACTGTTGGTTGTAGCTTGTGTTTTTCCTTGGCTGTTTTTTCACCTTGTGCAGCATGTCCTTAAATCAGTTTCCTTCAAATAATCTAAGGGTCTAGACTATTGGATGCTTCCTTATAGCCTGCTGTCTCTTGAGGAGACGAAAATATGTCTATTGGCGCAGAATGCCACAAGTTAGCATTTGATTGCCTCCTTCTGAGCTTCTGATCACACTAATGGAGACCTAAAATGATCTCTGTTGCATCCATGCAAGACGAGAAGGTGAAGCTGTGCCCTGCTCTGCCTCTGTATGCTGAGGCAAGGAGATGGGAGGATGGGATGCTCTGAGGAAATCTTGTTTTGATCTAAGTGACACGGTTGCCTAGCCTGGATGATCTGTGTTGAATCTTGAAAAACAGATATTGAATTATGACTCAAATGAAAATCAATCATTTAATAACTCTGTGTACCTAAATACCAAGAAGGTTCTGACATAACCCCTGAGAATGAAAGAGGGACATGTGTCAGGTTATATGTCTGTTTACATGTCTTGCTTCCTTGCCCAGTAGTATAAATCCAGGCAACATAAGAGATGGAAGCAGTTTATTGCATTATCAGAGCATATGATCGATCAGGCAGAGACAAAATACAGTCAAATTGGTGATAGCATTCCAGAGTGGCAGTATTCTTCAAACTACCAAACCATTTGACATATTCGGTTGACTTTTAGAAACTGAAAATGCAGATCAGAGTCTTTCTTAGTGAGTTATCTTCCCCTTTTGCTTTTCGACAGAAAAAAAAAGGTCATTCTTTGTTGGAGATATTCTGGCTTTGAGCTTAAGCTCCCAGAAGACCCATGACTCTGCAAGCAGAATTACTATCATTGGTATTGCATGACAGTAATGTTTAGTGCATTCTCAGTTTTATGAAAGATTAATATTGGAGACATTTTGAATAGTAGCATAGATTTACGCTTGCTTTTTAAGATGGAAAAAAGGAGGGACATTTGTGGTGTTCTTTAGCAACAATGGGTTAAGTTATAGGAGGAGTAGTACTAAAAATGAATAAAATTCTGTAAAGCTGAGAAGGAGAAAAAAAATACCTTGCCTGGATGGATTATGTACAAACTGTAAACATTTAAAGCATATTTGGAGATTGGAAATGCCATGCCTTTATTAGAATACTACAGTTGTTTCAGTGCGCTTCATAACTGTTCTGTCCAGTGTATGTGACGTGTTGATACCTGGGCATGGAAAGTTGGAACTGTACTGAAAAGACACAGTTTTGAGGAATGTGGCTTATCCTTTGAATTTTATTATAAAAAATGAAGGCATTCTGTATAAAAATGATCTGATGCGTGTTCAACTTCACTTAAGAGACCATTCACATTGTATATGTTTGTTTTGCGACATATAGGACAGTTTTCCAGCTCGGTTTGGAGGAATACATTTCGTCAATCAGCCGTGGTATATCCATGCCCTCTACACAGTTATACGGCCCTTTTTAAAGGAGAAGACACGAAAAAGGGTATTGTTCTGTTTATTTTTCCATTATCAGTCATAGCCAGCGGATGTAACCTACTGTATATGTCAGCTTGTTATTGACACAATGTATTTAAATATATCTGCATTGCAAAAATTATCTTTACATGCTTTAGAAGAATCCATAGCTTTATTCTTCAAGGACACAGTTAAGCAGTGTACGTAAATATATTTTTAATTGTAAACATATGCTTCCTCTGGGTTATATAAAAATTGTCAACATTAGAATTCCCATAAGAGTAGTAAAATATTAAAACTGTCTTTCTTTTAAGAACAAAGGTGGTGAGTGCCAAATTCTTTCCTAATGAGATTTCCTTGACATTAGTATGAACTGAAAGACACAGTTGGTATAGAGTAGTTTGAAAATACTATTTTGAATGAGAAGCCTATAGAAGGGTATTTGTGCACATGCATCTGTGCATAAGCACTAGCAGTTTCTGAGATGTTGCTTGATTTGCAACATTTACATCAATGCAATTAGATTAGAGTTTGGTGGTGAGAGCACACAGAATGATATTATTTCTGTAACAGGAAATTTGTCATCCAAGAAAGCCCAATCAGCATCACACACAAAGCCTAACTACAGAGAATACGACAGATTTGTTTTTTACAGGATCAGCTCGCTAAGCAGCTCTGTATTTTTTCTCTCTTCAAACAGTCTGCAAGGCCATAGAGATCCTTGGTGTTTAGCTGTTTTTACTGACAGATTATGCTTGAGAGACCTCTGGTACTTACAGATTTTGAACTATAGATCACAAAGCCTTTTATATAATATCTGTTATAAATATGCAAATGAAAACCCGTTTTGCAGGATTCAGTTGCACTCCACTGACTACAGCTTCAACAAAGAACATTTTAGTGCCAGATATGCTTGAAGCCTATTTAAGTGAAGTGCTGTGTATGCATAACTGGGGAGAAGAGTATGGTCTGTGGATATGCTGCAAGATTAAAAATAAGGGACAAGGCAGTTGAATATGGGTGCTTATCACTTAGACATCTACATTTTATTGAGACACCTGAACCAGGGGCTTATATTTTCATAAATTCTGACCTTCTACAGCTGTTTTTGTCAACACTGAATACCTATAAAAAGTAGGTCAGGTATTTAAAATTGTGTTTTGACTCTGAAATTTAATGTCAAAATGTGAAAAATGTGTCCAGCACATGTCATTTAAAATCAGTTTTGAAAGAAAAACCAAAGTATTTTTTGTAGAATAGTATCAGAATTATCTTCAAAATTTCATCAGTCTCATTATTAATATATTGTGTTTATGCTGAATTATTTTGCATTTTTAAAATTGGTCTAACAGATTGACAACCAATAACTATGTTCAGATAAAGTACTACTAGGCATTCCACTAGGCATAAAAGCATTACTAAAAAGAAAAATGATCCATTTGAAAGGCCCTATAAAACAGATTTTTTTTTGCCATTGATATCTGTTATTTCACACAAGAGTAAGCCCTTTCTAAGCCAGAGGGACAGTTACTGAGTTTGCATTTTCATTTTAAGCTTCCTTATCTTCACAGCTGATTGAAAAATCAGCTGAAATAAACACATATTTGGTCTTTTGTCTCTCTCCGCTTCGAATTTAACCCTCAGTAACTTAGTCCAGGGGTAGAGCTATCCAGAGAAGAAAAGTGCAGGGTAATCTGGGATTGAACTGGCCTCACTCCAGTAGCTTGGTGATATCTGTCTGTGCGTGGTGAGAGGCAGCTTATAGGTGCTGCAAGGCAGCATCCTCCCTTGCCTTACTGGCTGGTTCTTCATGAACAAATTAAAAGGGTTTGACTTGAGCCCTTGTATGTTACCGTTCGTCCTGTGGGCACTCTTTGGCAGGGTGTTATGTGCTGAGTGTTTTTATGTAGTTACTTACTTTATTTCATGATATTAGGAAAAAGAGCATAAAGGAAAGGCAGCTTCTCTGTATAATTTGCTGCTGATCTAGCTATCTCACATCAGTTTTCACTGCCTGTAGTGCTTTGGTCCTTGAAACATTTGGAGTTATTTATGTTTTAAGAATTTGTGTATTTGCAGGACTATGAACATAGACTGACTGTACTCAATGCAGATGCAACGTCTGTCTTGGAAGACTAACTCTGTAAGCCCAACACGGACAGAATTTCATACCACATCATATCCCATGATAAAGATGACAAAATTTGGTCTTTGAAGGTTTGTGCAATACTGCTTTGTTTTTACCTCCATGTGTGTATGCAGATATTCTTGCATGGAAATAATCTCAACAGTCTGCATCAGCTAATCCATCCTGAGATCCTACCCTCAGAGTTTGGAGGCATGTTGCCCCCCTACGACATGGGGACTTGGGCAAGAACACTGCTGGACCACGAATACGATGATGACAGTGAATGCAATGCTGACTCATACAACACTCCTGCAAAAGATATAGATAAAGACCTTTCTCCCAAATCCATGAAAAGGTGAGTTGAAGTTACTCTGGCCTGCTAGTACTGCTGTGGATTCACTGTGAGGAGTTATTTCCGCAGTGCCATACGGGTAGTGTGTGCAGTATTGTGTTCAGAACAAGCTAGTGTCCTGTCTGAGCTTAGAGTAGGCATTAGAGAGCCAGTGCTGGCTGGAGTGAGCCTTGGGGCTGAGGAAAAAATGGCTGTAATTGTCCACACAGATAGTAGTGATGATTCTTATCTTTCCCCATCTCATAACTCGGTATTGGCTATCCATCAGCCTGTGGGGGCCAGGATATTTACAACAGCTGACCTTTCAGTCACAGTAGCTGCACACAGAATGAAAAAACTAATGAGGAAAGGCAGCACAAGAATCTGTGCAAATCGTTGTACTGGGGGATGATAAACATCTTCACAGTCTGATATTCTTCTCTTTGAGAAGCAGCAGTTTAATTGCTTGCTGCATTTTACCATTCGAAATCTAATAATGTATGGGGAGAAATTACAATAACTGTGGAAGCGGCGAGGTGATTCACATGGGAGTGGTGAATTGGGTCTGACCTTGCCAGGGAGGTAGAAGAGAAAGGAGAAGTGTCATGAAGAGGGTGATGCAAAGGGTTGAACACACTGCAAAAGCTGGAGTTCAGCCCATAGATGGGTAGATCTAGCAATGGATCCGAGTGGAAACATAGAGTAGAAAACCTTTGAATGAGGTAAGACTATGCTAACTTGAAATTCAATTTCAGCAGATGGCATCTGCTGCAGAAGGGGGAAGAGTCTTGGGACATAATGTGTGGAAAATGAGAAATAGGAAGAGACTGGTAATGAGAAGTCAAAAAAGGTCCTGAATCCATATGTCAAAGGTATAGTTAACAAGAGAAATGGAGAAAATAGCTCATTGAAGAATCTGGTCAAGGGGAGAAAATGAGCAATATATTTGTGTATGATTTGCACATAATACAAGAATTATGAGACAGTAGGGAAGTTGTCTTGGAGAAAAGAGCAGAATACGGTTGCAAAATCAAGTCTTGGGAGGAAAACAGCCTCATCCAAGGAGGCGATAAGAAAACATGAGAAAGCCAGTAACAAGACCCTTAGAGGAAGATTTTCCAGACTATCCTGGAGAAGTGCATTATTAATTTGAAAAGCTTCTTCTTGGCTTGACTAGATTCCTTATTCTTTATCAAAGCAGAAAGCACTTATCTATTTTCTTCCCATTTAACTTATGGTTGAAAAATCTTTCTTGCAGAATTATACTTCAGTGTAAACTTCAAATTGTTCTTCAGTTTATTGCCTGATAGTCTTTCTCTCTGGGTTAGCTGGCACAGTAGGAGACACTGGAGAAGATAAACATATAATATTCAGTTGAATGTCTTCACATTTTCAGATAATGTATCTTCAGTGTATGCTGGAATCCTTCTTCCCAGCTGGTATATATAAAAAGGTACAGGTAGAAGGGAAAAGGAATAAGATGCTATGGAGAAAGTGACATGACTTTGGAGTAATAAATACACAGAATGACTTAAAATTTCATTGATGCAAAGATATAAGTAGATAAATCCTATTCAATTTAAATTTGAATTTCAATTGAATGTGGCAATTGAAGGATTAATTTTCCCTAAGTTTAAAAGCACAGTCAATGTGGTAAAACAATTTCCTTTTTAATCTCTAAAAAATGTGGCAGTAGTACAACAGTAATAATAATATAATGAATTTGCTTAACTTCATAGACCGTGTATCGTAGGAATCTAGCATGACTCCAACAATTATCCTGTTTAATTTGGCTTGCCATTGTAGAATTAGTTCCTTCCTCTGAAAGAGTATCCTTTTTATCCCAGAATCCTTCTAGGATTTTTTTTTTTATATCGTTTTTCATATTTGCCTCCATGTGGATCACTGAAATTCCTCATTTACACTCCAGACCTCCTGGAGCTTTTGTTGAGCAGGAGGAGTCCTCCTTGCAAGGAAGGCTGATGCTGGAGCTAAGGAGGAATTACTGCCACCTGTGACAAGGGCCTCTGAGGTCTGCGTGTTCTCAACAGGCAGCGCAGTTGTTCTTGATTGCTCTTTTAAAGGTCTGTGCCTGCGCTTTGATTCTCATCTCTAAATTGGGAATTAGTAGTGCAGCTCTGCCACACTGTGATTTGTGAAGATTTGTTCAGTAGTGTCTGTAAAGTTGATGGGGAGACGAAGGAGAAAGTGTTACAGATTTACACAAATGTTTTTTCATTTTACACAGCTTAATCCATGCATTACTGCTGCACAAAATGCAATATGACAACAAATGTTGATTTAATACTGACTGAAAATAGTTTTCCATCTTCAGCAAGGCATTTGGGCTTCTGGGCTGAGACACCCTAGATCAGGATTTGTTCTGTTAAAATCTGCCTTAGAATCTGGGAGTTGGGAAGAATTTATGAGCAAAACTGTCATGTTTGCAACCTTTCTGGCTCCCATTCAGTTTATCAAATGAGAATCCTTGGACAGCTTGGCTGCTGAGATATACTCAGCCTAGGAGAAGGGATTTTGGTCTCCTGTTAGTATTTCCATTCAAGTGGGGATTCTTTGGAATTAGTCCACTCCCACAGCTTTTTTTTTTTTATCCTGATGAACTGGATTTTCCAATAGTACAGTTTTCACTAGCATATTTTCAGTCTGCTTTGCATTGTCACAACACACTGTGCACTTAAAATAATTCAGTGAGTTTGATTTGTGCCTGAGGAATTGACCAATATTCTATATGAGGCCTATTGCACATTATTAGTTAAAAAAAAATGTCGCAAGAGAATTGATCAGATTTTTAAAGCTAATATTCTTGATGTTGCCATTAAGAAAGAGGACTAAATGTTATTAGAAAATATCTTGGATTTAAAGCTTTCACCTGAGGTTCAATTCAGATTTTTTCCTTCTTCATGTTTCTGAAAGGTTTTTCCTTTTGTTTGTTTGTTTTTGAAATAGGCCAGATTGGCTCCTGCTATGAGTCTTCTTGGTTTCAGTGGATGGTGGCAGTTTGTAAAAGGAGAATTGTCTGTGTATGTTTATCTTAAGAGAGAGGTCAGAACTGATAAAGCTTTTTCTCTATGCTGTAGCCCTGCAAAACACCAGTGGTAGTACTGACCATGGGCTTCCTTTCACTCAAAATAGATTGCAGAGAGAAACACATGCTTCTAGCTATCCCAAATCCTCTTTACAGAAAGGGAGGAAAATAAACATTTCTAGCATGATTTGTTTCACTCTAAAAGAGGTTGCATGTAGTGTACAACAAGGGTTACATGTACTGTACCCTAAAAATGTCTGTTTTTTGACAAGTTAAGGCATAGGTGAGGTGAGTCCCATTCTTAAGGCTTCAAACTGGGTTTTTGATGGAGTGTTTTGATTTTGATGAAAGCTGTGTCTGAAGAGGTTCCTCTTTCTCACTCACATGGCTGTTGCAGGGTGTTATAGTACCACTGTTATAATTCTGTACTGAATCAGAGAATCTTAAAAATTTAAGAATCCTCAATGAGTTTGCCCTTGCCATCCACCTGCGCTCTGTGTAGTTAAGCTGATAAGTGCATTTGACAGACATATCCTCTGCTTCAGAAAGCTCGCTGGCCGCGGCAGGGTTCCCCGGGCTTGGCTTAGCAGCACGCGCTGCTTCGTTTAAGTACTGCTCAGAAAAGGAGCAACTTGGCCTTCCAGCTAAGACGTCACTAATTGCAACATGCCATTAACCAGCTGCGTTGCTGAAGTGTGCCTTGTTCACCAGCCCACTGCCATCTAACCCTGTATAGCCAAGAGGGTTAATGCTTAGGACACTGCAAAAGACAGCTTAGTTTGCCCGCTGTTGTGTACTAAGGTTGCACTCTGCTTCATCATTTCATTGCAAAAAGCAAAGGAGGCTGCACCCTGCTTCACCATTTCTTCATAAAAAGTAAAGGGAATCCCTGTATTCCTCCTTTCGCCTCTAGCCGCGAGCTAGCACAGAGCCCGTTAAAGCCAGGTAATCATTTCATGAGGGTATTTTATAACCTTGTGCTGTGATCAGATGCTCAGGGTACCTGTACCATTATTTTTAAGCCCTGGAAGAAAGGAAGATAAAAGAAAGCTGAGGTTTACCCTCATTTGACTTGATCTGGAAATGTTAAATAAACATGTTATCCTTCTGCAGGTCTCAATCAGTTGTGGATCCTGGGGTGCTAAAACGCATGGATAAGAATGAGGAAGAAAACATGCAGCCTTTGCTTTCGCTTGACTAACGGTTCCTGAGCACTGAAGATGAACTGAGGTGGAAGCACTGCCTCTTAGTAGCAAGCAAACCACTGGGAAAGAATCTACCAGCTGGAATTCTATTTACTCATGTTAATGTAGCATAATGGAAGCAGGCAGCAGGTTTTACCATTCTGCCTGAATTCTGGATGCCCTGGGGTGAAAAAGAAAAGAAGAGGAAAAAAAAAGAAAACAATAAAAAAAAAGAGGCATCAATAATTTATTCTGTAAGTGCCAACTTGTTTGTAAATACAATATAACTCTCCACTTTGAATTTGTAAGTTATGGTAAGCAAATACTATGGAAATGAGTGACTTAAAAATGTCAGTGAAATGCACCATGAAAATGAGGAGAGAGCAAACACTCACACAAACACACCCCCCCACACATGCGTACATAGAAATGCATACTGGACAAAGAAAAATAACAAAGCCAATTAAATGTTGTCCTTCTAGGAAGCCATATTGCAGCTATCATATTGACTGCTGTTTTGTTTTCTGTCTGCAATGCTCTTGTAGTGTGCAAAGATAAAGAAGAAATAGAGGAACTTGGAGACGTTGTAACGAGTTGAATATTTCCTGTCTGTAGGAATTTGTTTCACAAATAACTTTGTGATCCAGGATTGTGATTTAGCATAAATTGTGTAGCATTGTAAAAAAGATAACAGATGAGCTGGAACCAGCTCTTTGATGGCTTTGTTCTTTGGCTATGCGAATCTGTGAGGTTTCTTCCTTAACCTTTTATTTACAGTTTTGGCTTTGCAAGTAACTTGGCTCATTACCCGAGTCTGGGTGTCGGAACTACTTTTCTTGTATTTCGGGTGCACGTCAGAATTTTTCCAGAACTCTGTTCTCCCTTGATATGAGAAAATATTTCTCTAAATAATGTGTAATAACCAGTATTTGGATCTTAAGCCTGGCAGCAGCAGGTTAAAAGTTTGAATCCTGTGCACTGGGAGACTGCATACATATATATATTTTTACCGATCTCTAACAAACGTATAAGGTGACATTGTTAGACAAGTATATTTAATCAAGGGTTTATACAAAAAAAAAATACCTATTCAATGTACTTAGATATATTATAGATTGCATATTGAGACAATGTCATTATTAATATAGTAAAACTTTCCTTAGAACAACAGCATCACACTCCAAGCAAGGATTAATATGAATGAGTTGTAGTCAAACATCTCAGCCTATGTGTTTAGGACACTTTTGTTTTTGTTGTAATGTAACTGTATATATGAACATGTGCCATAATAGAGAAATACATTTTACCTCAAAAAGGCAACAGGTTTTGCTAAGGATTGAATAAGTCTGCTAAAATGCAGGGATTGTGTCATCACTGTTATGTGCTGCTGTGTGTGCAATCTGTTATAAGCTGAGACAAGAATATGTCTTTTACACTAAGTAGACATTTCTTATCAGGGTTTAACTCGGAATGAGGAGAAACAAGATACCCCCTGACACATCTGAATACTTAGAGGTTTTGCAAGAGAATGCCCAAACAAAGTGAGGATTAATTAAGAATACTCTTAACAACTGGACACTGTGGAGGTAATAGGTCAAGCAATTCTGCCTCCAAAGCTCCATAGTACATAGCATAGCTTCACTTACTTCATTTATCACTTGACATTTCAAAGTGGCCAGTTTTAGGTCATCTATCCTTTCCAATGATGATTCCAGCTCTAAGAATTAATGGACTGTGAAGAGTTAAAAGAATGCAGAGGGTGAAATCTAGAACAAGTATGTCCCTGGGTTTAGCTGTCACTTATATTGTGGCAACATTGGCATGAGAACTGAGAAGTTCTCATAAGACCCTGTCAGCATCACCCTTGGTTAACCCAGGCATACACAGATAAAGCTTTCATACTCTGCAGCACATTAGCAACTTTGACAAATAACCTATGTCTAAACATGTGATTGTATTGCCTGGAACTTGCTGACCAAGTCATTGGGTTCTCACTTGCTTAACACTATTTCCATTATACATGATTTGACATGCAAACAGAAGTTACAGAGCTTGAAGGTGAGAAGTGTTTCACAGTGACAGCTCCAGAAAGGGCAGATGAAATCTATGTATTCTTATATCTTTTCAGTCTGTCTTGCAAGTTTTCAGTGCTAGAAACTGTTGTAATGCCACTTTTATGCTTTGAGGGACTTAAAAGATTTATGAATTCTTGTCTACTGTTTTATTCAGTTCTCTTTTTCATGAACCTTGTAATATCATGCCATACAGGTAAGATGTATCTTTAGGGTTTACTAAGTGCCATATTTGAATGTATGTTATGCACACCCACACTTATGTTTAGTAGAGTAGTATATTGCCATAGATCTGATTCTTGAAATCAAGTAGTAATCAAAAAAAAGTAATCAAGTATCAAGTAAAATCAGTAGAACTTTTCCTTCTAAAGGTTCCAGGATTTAGTCAAAGTACCACATTTATGCAAATTGTGACCTTGTGGTGATCAAAATCTTTATTGGATGCCTTTGGATTCATGGGCTGAAGCTAGGTGTAAAATAGGCAACACTGATTTTGGAATATGCTACCTATCTGATCAGAAGATCCAAAAGCATCTTATATCCTGATAAAGCATCTTTGTAGGGAAGTGTGTTGATAAGAGTGTATGAGGCTTATGCAGACCAACTGATAGATATGTTTGGTTTTTGAATACTTTATTTAGGCACTTAGCTGCAATTTATGCACTGTATTCTGATGACTGATTTCAGCTTTAAGTTAATAAATATTAATATATTCATTCCAGAAAGTGAAAGTAGGATATAATATAATTTTGCGTAACTGGGACCTCATTTTTCATCAAGAGCAAAAGTGCTTTTTCATTGAGATCCTTACTGTTAAGGAGTTGGGCTAGAGCTCTTCTTGGCTGTGGTTTTTATTTAACTGAAGCTAATTTTGCACTAGTTGTGATACCGGATAAGAAGTATAATTACAGTTCACATGATCTCAGTATTCTTTGCAGGCATTTCTCTTTTACTTACCAGGTTACATATTAAACACGGTTTCTACCTTTCCCCTTTAGAAAATCTGTATAAGTAGGTCAATTTTTAATACATAAAATTTGGACTGAAAGCTTTTTTCAAATCTTTGTTATCATAGGAAGTAATATCCAATTTTTAAAGCAGAATTGAAGTGCTAAAGATAGAAATCAAAGGGAGCCGTTTTAATTTCTTATCCTTATTGTATGTTGAGTAGAATTAGCTTTCCTGTAGTTATGCTTGCTGATATGCATATATGAAAAAAAGATTCCTGCAATATGAAGAATTTAATGGAAGGACTAAATACACCTATCCAACCAGCTAGGCAAAGGAAAAAAAAAAGTGTAAAATTTGCCAATTTCAGGCTTTGAATGGGATCTGAAAACATCCCCTTAAGCTGTGGTTTTTTTTTCTGTGATACACATGCTTAAATTATATGGAGAAGTAACAGAAACTTTCATGCATAAGGCCTTGATCCTGTAGACAGAGAGGTTAATCTGTGTGCTTTATGAACTAAATGAGAGCAAGTCCCACAAAAATGCAACAGATATGCAAGCTCCAAATAGTTAGTACTTGTAAAATAGCTTTAAGATAATAAAGTCCTTACAGAAATGGTAATTTCTTATACAGTATATTTAAAATGTTACAAAAGTCACAAAAGAAATTCAATGAGATATACATAAACTAAACACAGAATTAAAGAAAATAGGAGTAGAAGGGACCTCAAGAGCTCAGCTACCTTGATAAGTGGAGGAGCAGATTTGCTTTAATTTTATCTTTCTTCAAGAATTGTTTTAACTCAGTACCTTGCATGGAATGTTCTTTGTATTATTTAATCGCAGTCACAACAAAACCTAAGAACAATAGTAGAGAAAACTGTACATTGACTGTATTTTGTTCATGTATTTTCTTATTTATTTGTTCTGTTTGGGAAACAAATACCTTATTTGTTCTGTTTGGGAAATTAAAATGTTCACCAAGCAAGAACTACCTTTCAAATATGCCTGGGAAATGTATTGCAATAAGCCTTGGTCATGTCCCTGTTATGTTGTTTGTCATTATTGTGGTATATAATTGTCAAGAATGTTAAAAGAGTCATATTTGAAAGAGCATGGAAAAGAGAACATCTCCAAATCAGCTTTTGGAACTTTGTATAAAATCCAAAAATAATTTTTCAGGTCATTTTGAATTTGGTTTTGATAATCTTTGTTTGTCTATGGAAAACTCCTGAGTGATCAACAGTACTGGGTACAAGGACAAATTTGTAAGATAAGTATCAATGTGAAAAGCAAGAGTTTCAAAGGATTGTGCTGAAAGAAAGAAAAACACTTAAGCACATGGTTAGCTGTATAATGTCCTTTTATTGAATGGCATTTTCGGAATAGTTTATGAGCATGTACTTTTGGTGCTGAAAATAATACTTTGATCCACAAAGTTCAAAGCACACTATGAAATCAAGAAAATAATTGTTATGCCACTTCTCAGGTAGCAAATAGAAATACAGAAAGTTAGAGATGCCAAAATCTCAGTAGAAGACATTCATAGTGTCTTTATGTACAGCAAGAATGATACTGTGATCACTCAATGTGGTTTGAACTGAAGGAAATATCTGTCCCTATTTTATGTGAGAGAAATGTCTATCTGATGATTCACCGTCACACCTACACTCTGAAAATCTTCTGAATTCTTGAGAGCTTTATAAACCAGGGATGATCTGCTTTCCTGTGGAATTAAGTCTGAATGTACTTGGCTTGTGCCAAGGAAGTGGTAAAAATACTTTATGTCCCCCAAATGAAACACCTTTGTTCTGCATGTAGTTGATGGGAAAAGGCAGTTTGAAGACCTAAAAAAGGGAGATCTTGGCTGCCCAGGAAAGACATCTCAACTTGACCAGGGAAGACCCTCTTCTGTTGTACTCGAAAGATGCTTACGCTGTCATTAACAATACAGGGAACATGTGCTTTTCATTGAGAGGCATTTTTAAGTAGCTTCAATGATGGTGCAAGCCAGGGAGATATGACCCCACACGCTGTATTGCCTTGTGACCTTTAATAAACCTGTGTCAATTATCTATACCTAGTACATTACCTTGGACATATCATTCTGCATTTCATCTTTCAGTTATGTGGGAATTTTTTTTGATATCAGCTTTTGAGATCTTGATTTGTTCCCTTCATACGGGTGTCTTGTCATAAAATGGCATTGAC